TCTCTCTCTCTCTCTCTCTCTCTATCTATCTATCTATCTATCTATCTATCTATCTCTTCCTGTTTTCTCTTGTACTCTCTGAAAGAGGTGGCCGTCGTCTGGTATCAGAGCAAAAATAAGCGGGAAAATAGCCGTCAAAGTTTAGTGACTTCTAAAGCTTGAGAGTCCTTGAAAACAGTAAGTATTTTAAAGGTCCCCTTTATGATCAGTTTTAAAGCAAAGTTCACATAGAAATTTGTATTTAAATATACACAAAAGCAGTTGAGGCAAAAAGAATGTTGGAGATAAGAATTGACCAACAAACGTAAAATTGTGGGTTTTTTCCCCATTTCATTATTTTGATGAGCGCATGATTTTATCACGATGCCACACTATTTTGTTTGTGTTTTCTTTCATGAAAAGGAGAAGATGGGGATATTTAGGGTATGTTCTAAGAATACCTAAGACAAGATTGGCCTATCCGACATGGTATGTGGGTGGTTGGCGGGTGCTCTGGTATGGTTTGCTTCTTCTTTCCTGTCAAATATCTATCGTCTTTATCTCCCCTCCTTCTTTTTTGTGTTAGTTACTCTCTTGTAACTCCTCTAATCTTTGGCACTTATATTATGACTTTATTGTGTTGCAAGCGCTGTAAAACTCTTGCTAAAAGTAAAGACATGGTATCGGAGGCTAACTGGTAAAAGAAAAACAAGTGAACCAACTGGTAGCTATAGACAGACAATAAGAGATGAGGCAATCACCCTGGACCCGGATGTGCCAAAAGCTGAGAAATTGGCCAGGGACAGGCAAGCGTGGCGTCGACTGCTCTCCACCTTATGCATCTGACGGCAGAGTGAGAGAGTTAGTAAGGGGCTCTCGCGTTCTAGAGATTCAGGTGTTCACCTCTCATTCAATAGGTCCGCGAGTTCGAATCCGGATAGCGGCGGAAAATTCTATTCTCTAAAATGTTCTCCTTCCACATCTTTTCATGCTCTCTAACAACGTTCTGTCGTCTGCTTTCTGCTCTACTTTCTGCCCCCACCCCCTCACCTCCTGTGCACACTCCTCTGGGCTCATGACTCTTTCTTCAGCCTTTCTACAGCTATTCCTTGGCTCCTTCTTGCTGTTGTCTTTCAGCCACACCTCTGATCTTATTGTAGGTAAGAATTACAACTTGCCTTTTCGAATAAGAACGAAAAACCTGGAGGTCCCGTGTGCAGTCTGCGCACGTTAAAGAACACTTAATGATTCAAAACCGAGAAGAGTAGGCTTTGGCCGCCACCCGGGCAAAATTCAAAATCCCCTATCAACTGAAAATGTTAAATGCGTTCCGCGCGCTTATATGACCTTTTTCAGTTGCGAGCGCGGTAAAACACTTACCAAGAGAGAGAGAGAGAAAGAGAGAGAGAGAGAGAGAGAGAGAGAGTGAGTGAGTGTGTGTGTGTGTGTGTGTGTGTGTGTGTGTGAGTGTGTGTGTGTGTGCGTGTGTAAGTACGACATGTAAGTTTCTTTTTAAGTAAGCAGATCTATATGTAAGTTCCTTTCTAAGTAAGTAGGCCTACATGTAAGTACATGTAAGGTTCCTTCTAAGTAAGTACATGTAAGGTTCCTTCTAAGTAAGTACATGTAAGGTTCCTTCTAAGAAAGTACATGTAAGTTTCTTTCTCCCCCAGACTGGAATGGTGCGGCAAGCGTGACCCGATTGCTCCGACAGGTGGCCAGTTTACTGTGGGAAACGATGACAGGTTGGAGGTCAAACGCTGCGGCCAGCACTGTACGGGTAGGCTTTGATGTTTTTGTTTCTTTTTGTGTGTGTGTGTTTTCTTGGAAGGGGGGGGGGATTTTTCGGTTTTGTGTTTGGTTTTTGGCTTTTGTTGCGTTTTTTTTTTCTCTTCTTTTTGGTAAGTGAGACTGTAGAGTGTAGATAAATAAATGGTAGGGTTATAACGCCCATATCAACACTATTAAGTTATTTAAGAGGCGCGGCCTCCTATTGATATGTGATTTACGGCGCCCACAACTACATAAGGTCATATGGGCGCCCGGGACACATTAAACATTTTCAGTCAGTAAGAAATTTTGAACTTTTTTTCGGGTGGCGTCCGAAGCCAACTCTTGTCGATGATTTTGGACCACCAAGAGATCTTTAACGTGCGCAACTTGTTGCACTTGGGACCTCTGAGACCTTTCGCCCTTATCCGAGAAAGCTAGGTGTTAGATCTTACCTGCCCTAAGATCAGGGTTGTGGCTGAAAGACAACAGTAAGAAGGAGCCAAGGAGTAGCCGAGAGAAAGGCTGCAGAAAGAGTCAGGAGACCAGAGGAGGGGGCAAAGGAAGTTAGAGGGGTGGGCGCAGAAAGTGGAAACGAAAGAAGACGACAGAACATGTGTTACAAAGCAGGAAAGGAGCTGAAAAGAGAAAATTTTGGAAAAGAATTTTTCCATCCCTTTCCGGAATCGAACCAGGGACCTATTGAATGAGAAGTGAACACCGTAACCTCTCGACCACGAGAGCCTATTGTTTTGTTTTTATTAAGTGTTTTTTAAAAATTAGTTTGTGAAATGAGAAGCACATATATCTGAGCGCGTGAGAAGCTATCATGATATCAGACCGGTGCGCTTTCGAAAAAAAATATTATATAAGCCTCGCACAGTCAGAGCGTGGCACTTTCGAAAAAAAAGAATTTAATAATACCAAAACTGCGCACAATCAGGCAGGCGCCGTTTGGAAAATAAATATAATATCAATATCGTGAACTATCAGAGCCGTGGATATTGGTGTGGTTTTTTTGTGTCTTTGTCTTTGTTTTTATTTATTTTATTTTTTTCTCTCTTTTTTCTGGGGGGGGAAGACAGGTAGTATAGTCTGGAAAATAGCAGGCTGAATTCTGTGAACCTGATTTAGAGAAAAGGGAGGTCGGTTTTTTTCTGGGGGGGGGGGGGTGTAGGGGGTTCTGTTAGTGATATTACGGTGCCAATATCATCCGACGATTTTGATTCCCCTCTGCGTTTTACTAGTTTTACTAGACTTGGGGCTGGAGAATAATATTATCCTGGTATCCTGGTGATCGAGAGAGGAATGATAACATTGCGACTACATATTCGATCTGTCATCGTTTTACAACTCACCGCTCATCTGAGTAATGGTTATAATATGTCTCCCCCGCCCCCGTTAGCTGTACTCTTGGTGCTCGACATGACAGAGGAAAAAGAAAAAGACAATGCCCTATATAAGACGTAAAAAATGTCGCGCAGCTTTGAAAACCAGATTTCCTTTTCAGAAGATATGAACGCACCCACCCACACACACACACACACACACACACA